AATATGGGTTCGTAAGACACTTCTTAAAAGTGTCCTATAAAATAGCTAATAAGACATTTTATTTTTTAAATGACTTATAAATTATTGTAACGCTTTTAAACAAGACGTTTTACAGTTTGATTCTATAAACTTAAGCTCTATAAAGTATTCTATTAGAACGCTTAGAACAATGGTGGGGTTGGTTTCTTCCTCAACGTGGCACGATCATGTTTAAAAAGAAATTGTCTTGATTGCCCCGCGTTTAACTAAAGTTAGTGGAAAATTACAACGGTTTGTTAGTATGAAAGACGAAATCGAAAACGGATTACAAACACGGGGAAGTAATTTACAATAAATAAAGTTAAGGGACGAAATCAAGAGAAATTTCAAACATCAAGGACACATTTTGTAATCATCTATGGTCCAAATCAGTAATTATCCCTTGATTTCCCAAGAATGTCCCCCAATCTTCTTTGACCCCCTTGTTTATTGGATCCATGACCCATCAATAAAGAAAGGGTATTTTTCGTAATTTCACATTCAAGTAGTGAACCCTAAATCCATCCCCCTTTTCCTATTATAAATATCCCCCAAAAAGATCCAAAAGATGAGAGAGAAAGAAGAGGAATTTGTGGCATGAGATCTTGAATTCGAAGGTTTTGATCTCAAATATGCTTCCATGGCTATAACAAAAAGGTTGGTTATTCTTTCGTTCTTGATTTTGATTTATCAGATTTCGTTATTACTGAAAAGATGGTATTTATTTGATTCAGATCTTTCATGAAATAGTCGTAAAATATAACAAGTTTCTTCTGTATGTATATATAAAGTGTTGACTCCAGACTATCTGTAAAACGGGTGGTTGCCATGAGATTAGTCGGCTCGCATAACGAGTTGGATATCCAGATTAATCAAAATTAAAATATATCTTTGAAAATTTTGTTAATGATCTTGAAAACTTTTTATTAATAATCAATTTAAACCATAGAAGTTGCTTTTAATATCAAGTTTTGAATCCAAAACCATTGATATAATAATTTTTGTGAATATGGACATAATACATGATGCTTTTTAGGGTGTTTGAGTTAGGAGTCATAAAAAACTCGACCAACCCAATTCAATCTAACACGAATAACTCAATTCAAAGCAATCCGATGTCTAATCGAGTTGTATTATTTTAAATTGCAGGTATTATTTGAACCCAACCTAACCCGATGAATCAAATATTCTTTTATTTCTTGGATTTAATATGATTGTTGAATTTCTATTAATATATATGCATTAGACAATTACACTATCATGTACGCTCTTCATATACTCATACTTTCAATATATTCACATCTTTATATAACGCATTCGTATACATGTTCAGTAACTATAAACATATATATGTAAATTGAAAAAAATAACTGAATGTGATATACGTAAGACTTTTCAATAAGTTGTATCAAATGGTTGATGATGAAAATAAATTATGAGTAGATAAATAACATACTTAAGATTAAAAGAACATTTTAATGTATCAAAGTATCAACTCAACCAACTCGTACGGTTTGTGTTGAGTTGGGTTAAGATTTTTAAAACCACAAGTATTGGGTTGGATTGTTCAAATATTTTCAACCCAATAAACCCAACCCATAAACATCCACAATTTGAGGTGTAGAATTTTTCTTAGAAATGGAATTTTATCTAAAAAGTAGAATGAAATTGAATTTTTTTTTTCTCAACTTTTTGATTGGTTTGTGTGACGTATTTTTGAATGGGTAAAACCATATAAAACCATATTATAACATCAATAGAAGACAGAATAAAACAAAACATTAAAATCGAAATGTATTTCGCTGTATTGCGCGAATATTCTTCTAATACAGTAATAAATTATAAATATGAATTTTAAGATTTTTGGACCATTTATTAGATAAGTTCTTATCGATTGTTTCTGAACATAACAAAAACTAGGAATCTTACGTGATAAAAGATATGACAATGACTTAGAATCTTACCCGATAAGCATTTATAGCAGTAATAAACTCTTGTTAATGCCAACAATTTATTTTAATGGCTATGAACTTTAACTGATAAGGTAAGTAAATGTGGTCACTTTAGTTGGTGAGTACTTACCCGACAAGCATTTGATAGATGACCCCTAAATATTTTATAATAGGAAAAAATACAAAGAAACCTAACCAACTTTTCCATTTTGAATATTTTAGTTCCTAAACTTTTTTAAATGGAAAAACTATTTAAATTTCTTATTTTGAATAATTAAGTTTCTGAACTACTTTTTGGAAGGGAAAAGTTTTAAAAAAACCCAATAGACTTTAGTGTTTGGAATGATTAAGTCCTTAGACAATTTTTTGGAACAAATAAGTACTTGAACATTCCAAAACATGTTAAATAACTCTTTGAACAATTTTTTGAAACAAATAAATCTTTGGACAATTTTTTGGAACAAATAAGTTCTTGGACAATCCAAAACATGTTAAATAACTTTTTGGACTTTTCTAAAACCTGTTGGATACATTCTTATGACTTGTACAACTAGTTAATGTGGTAAAATAGAAAAAAAAAAGTCCAAAAAGAATCCAATGAACATCCATATTTTGAACGATTAAGTCCTTAAATATTTTTTGAACCAAAAAAATATTTACATTTATAAAATTAAACAAATATAACAAAAAAGTACTTACATTTACAAAAAAAATTACATTTAAAAAAGATTTTTAATGAAATTTATTTTAATTAAAATAAAAATATATT